AGGGGGGGGGGGGGGGAGGGGCGCTCTGACCATAATTTATGTTACACCCTGAACATAGGTGTAACATTAAACAAGGTCAGAGAAGTAAACTTAAGGCCTTTAAGGCTTATTGCCTTGGAAGCAAAACAGGTTTGGTGGCTTATTTAGCAAATCACACAAATAGTGATAAAGAAACCTACAATGAGAAAATGGTGAGGGCTGAGCATTGCTGACTAGTCTGTCTAAAAATGCTAATTAGTTGGCTGGTCTATTGGCTTCAATATTTACTGAGCTAATACAAGTATGCAAAGAAGGAGCCCTGGCTTCATTTAGATTTCACTGGCTGCATGCTTGTTCTGAGTTACATAGTTCCATAGTATTTGAGGTTGAATAAAGACACAGGTCCATCAAGTTCACCCTATTGCGTGTATGTATGTGATTCTGCATGTGTATGTGTGTGTACGAGTTCATGGCTCAAAGTACAGCTATCAGACGCACAACTGCCAGACATCTAGAATGTTCAGGGTAAGCTGAAAATGTAAATGACACAAGTACACAAATGTAATATAGTGCACCTTACTAGTTCCTAGATGTGATGGCTGGGTTTGTTTAATTTTTTTCTGGCACAGTACATTTTCTGCAAGTATAGAAATATACCTGCTGATCCTGCAAGAAATCCAGAACTTTCTCATTCCTGTGCACTCAGCTGAAATCTCAAATTATCAAGTCCTCATAGGTATCTTCTGTGAACTGTAAAACACCACCCCCTGTGTTATGAAGATGAGAAGGGGATATGTTTGTAGTCCAAATCGGGAAAGCAGCCTAGTGTGACAAGGCTGCTCCTCTATGGATACAGTACAGTGAGTGGGTGCTGTCACCGTAAAAAATTTAAGTGTGTTACATTTTAACTCAACAATGTTTCCTTTATTGGCAATTGTTTAATAATTTGATGCTGATGTACATAATTAGACTTTCAAACAAAAACAACAACTTCTCCTAATTTTTCACATAAAGATTCCTCATGTAATCATTCGTCAGTCACTCACTGAAATATTTTTACAAGAAAGCCTCCTTCTGAACAGAATCAATGTGCATGTACAGCATCATACTCCATATCTGTAGTTATTAGTGTGATCAGTCTGGAACAGAGACAGTTACCGGTAACTCCCAAAAGCACTATCAGTGCAGAACTATTATATAAAACAATCGCTGTCAGCGCAATTTCTTTGTTTTCAGCTCATCCGAAACTTTCACCATTATTCGCATGCAACTCCCAAGTGCCTCCTCCAAATTATATATAGCATGTTTAATACATAATGCTGGATAACAGGCATCAGGGCCACAGAGTGTAATATAAAAAGGATCAATGTGTACAAACGATAATTAGAGAATAGCCCTGGAGTTTTTGCTTGATAATAGCTCTTGAGTTTGTTAGACAATAGCCCTTGAGATTGTTAGAGAATGGCACTGGATATTACAGAGACCAGCCCTGGAGATTGTTAGAGAATAGACCTGGAGATTGCTAGATAATAGCCCTGGAGATTGCTAGATAATAGCCCTGGAGATTGCTAGATAATAGCCCTGGAGATTGCTAGATAATAGCCCTGGAGACTCTTAGAGAATAGCCCTGGAGTTTGCTGGAGAATAGCCCTTGAGATTGTTAGAGTATAGGCCTTGAGACTGTAAGTGAATAGGCCTGGAGATTGCTAGAGAATAGCACTGGATATTATAGAGACTAGCCCTGGAGATTGTTAGAGACTAGTCCTGGATGCTGTTAGAAAACAGCCCTTCAGATTGTTAGGAGAATAGCCGTGGAGATCATTAGACAATTGCCCTAGACAATGTTCGAGGCTAGTCCTGGAGATTGTTAGAGAATAACCCTGGAGATTGTTACAGTAGGCCTTGAGATTGTTAGAGAATAGCCCTGGAGATTGTTAGAGAATTGCCTTATAGATTGTTAGAGAATTGCCCTGGAGATTGTTAGAGGAAAACCCTGAAGATTGTTAGAGAATAAGCCTGGAGATGTTTAGAGGAAAAACCCTTGAGATTGTTAGAGAATAGCCCTGGAGTTTGTTAGAAAATAGCCATGGATGTTTGTTAGAGAATAGCCCTGGAGATTGCTAGAGAATAGCACTGGATATTATAGAGACTAGCCCTGGAGATTGTTAGAGAATAACCCTGAAGGTTGTTACAGAATAGCCTTGGAGATTGTTAGAGAATTGACCTTAGAAATTGTTAGAGAATTGCCCTGGAGATTGTTAGAGAATTGCCCTGGAGATTGTTAGAGAATAACCCTGTAGATGGTTAGAGGAAAGCCCTTGAGATTGTTAGAGAAAACCTTGGAGATTGTCAGAGAATAGCCCTGGAGATTGTTAAAGAATTGCACTGGCACACCCATCTGCCGGCACACAGCTGCACATCACATAGCAGGCAAGTGGTATTTAGTTACAGTTTGGAGCTTGCCAGTAACCTTTTCCAGTGATGTCCCCTCACTCCGTCACTATATACAGCTCTTCTTCTCCGTCCTCCACCCTCTCTATTCCTTTTCGCACTGTTCTGTTCTTTTATCACTCTCTCACCTTCCTTCAGTGAAATGTAGAACCTTCCCATGTCTGTTCCTTATCACTCTTCTTCTTCTTCCCTTCCTATCTCTCTCCCGCATGCACTGGATGATACATTTCTATTCCACTCTTTCCTATATGTCTGCTCTATTTCCCATAAAGAACACATCTCCACCTCCTTCCTCCTCACCTGCTCTGCTGCCTCTGGGTCCAGATGTGGTTCCAGGAATGGGACAGTGAACTGGATCTTTCTAGGACTGTTGGGTTCCATCCTGTGTATCCAGCCTTAGCACAGGGTCAATGTACTCTGCAAAGATGTGCTGTTCAGATTCTGCTTTCTGAGGTTACAAGGATTTTGCCAGCCCCTTATCTCCTCCTGTCTCCACTCTGAGAGCAGAGGAGGATTGGCTGAACCTAAGCAGCCCGTATTCCCCCTGCTCACCCCCTCCCATCTCTACACAGCCTGTCACACACACACACATACACAACATACGTGTGTAAATATTCATGATCTGGTATTGTAGAATGTGACGATTCTTTTATGTGCTTCATAAATAGAATGCACAAATGTTGACATACTTGTACTACAAAGGAAGAGTCTTTAGTTTTCTTGTGCATTGAAGAAACACAGATTTACCAAAGGTCACCAGTTCACTTCAAATACTGAGAGCAGCCATACAATGCCCACTTATCACAACTGATGCAGCTAAGTAAAGATCAGTTGTGACAGCCGGCAGAGAAGGAGTTAAAGCCTGGGAGAATATTGAGCACTTGGCAGATCCGTAAGTGGTAAGTAATCACCTATTTTTTAATCAGCTTGTAAATGTATATAAATACTTTTCTAAATACATCTTCTTTGAAATGTGCTGTTTTCAGTACTATGCAAGATATGAAGAAAAGCATAACAGAGGAGGGACAAGGAAGCAATGCCTGCCATAAATGAATTAGGTGCCCACCACGTACACTTCATATAGCCTTTATTATTAGTAAGAGGGAAAATCAAAAAGTAAAGGCAAAATACATTTAGCGGCTTTAATAGAAGTAACTGTGAGCACTTGAACATGTCACTTTTCCACAGAGTCCCCATGCAATATGATGCACTTGTTGGATCAATAGCGTCTGTATTCCTGCAGAGAAGAAGCTTTTCGGCTGTTGCTGAAGGCAGGTGTGCACTGCTTCCATTACTTCATCACCTGAGGTGAACCTGCGAAATCAGAGCGCCTCCTTCAGCGGATCGAATATGGGATAATTAGACATGTGCGATTTGTTTCATTCCAAAAATTCGTACGAATTTTGCGAAATTCGGATGCATCTGGATTTCGGAATGAAAAAAAATAACAATCCGAACGTATCCAAATTTTCCGATGACGAAAATTTTGGATGCATCCAAATTCTTTTACAAATGTCATTCTGAATTGATTTATGTTGTTAAATGTAAACATAAAAAAAAGCTTGGAGTCTCCTCCCCAATTCATACCAGACACTCTAGTTCTAGTAGGAGTTTAAGGGGGGACACCAAGGACAAAAAAAAAAGAGCCAGACCCTTGTGTGTCCCCTGCACTATACCAGGCCAAATACCTACAACATGGGGAGGGTGATTTTCCAGGGGTGACCCCCTGGCAAAGCACCTTGTCCTCATGTCGATGGCTAAGTGGTTGTGTGGGTCTTTAGGCAGGGGGACTCATAGGTCTTATGGGAATCTGGGTGCCCCCATGAACACAGATGCAGCCCCCCCCCCTCCTTGTGAATGAGTAAGGGGTGGTTGTTACCCATACTCATTCCCCAAATACAGTAAAATACTGTAGTAAATAAACACACCACACCGTAAAAAAACCCAGTCCTTTATTTGAAAAAAAAAAACACAACACAGTTTTTGACAAGACTTTTATTAAATAAAAACAAAAATAATGTCCATCCAAAGGTCAATCACGCTGTCTATGCCGATGTAGATCCTCATAAATCATGATGCAGGACTGCCGCCAACTCGCCGAAAGAATATCCGACGCCCGCCACCTCGAGCGATCCTGACGAACTCTAACCGCAAAGTTACAGCTCTGACCTGAATATAAACAAAGGGGTGGAGTGAGTCCTGACATCACAGGACTTGTTCCGCCCATTTGTTTACATTCAGGAGGAGAACTGTCATAATAACATCTCTGTTCACGCATATCAACAAAGGGGCGGAGTGAGTCATTACTTTTTTTAAAATAAATATTGAGGTCATGTGGCCTGGTATGGTGCAGGCTGCTGCTCGGATCAGGGGTCTGGGAAGGGATTTTAAAGGGGACCCTGCACTTTTTTTTGTTTTGTTTTACCAGACCAAAAGGGCCTGGTATGACTTGGGGCAGTTGGGGAGCCACACACTATTTGTTATTGCTTCAGTGGACTGTCAAAAGTAAAAAAGAAAAATGTCACTTCTTTTCTAATGTCACTTGGGTGCAATGACATTTTTTTTGTAAATATATATTTTTTTTAAATTTCAGATTCATCCAAATCTGAATCCTAAATAGAAATGCAGGCCAGAAAAAAATGTGGCTTGTTTCCAGTCCCCTTACCTATTCACAAGGGGGGGTGGCATCTGGGTGCCCCTTTTAAGCAAGGGGGCACCCAGATGCAGATAAGCCCCCCTGCCCGCAGACCCCCACAACCACCAGGTCAGGGTTGTGGGGAAGGGCCCTTGTCCTCATTACCATGGGGACAATGTGCTTTTCCAAGGGGTCCCCCCTGTCCCCCGGGAAAAGTTTCCTCACCATGTCGAGGGCATGTGGCTTGATATGGTTCCGGTAAGGGAGGCCGCTCGCTCATAACCCCCCTTTTTCTGCCCTACCAGGCCAGTGCTCCAATCAAGGGTCTGGTATGGGATTTTAGGGAGGGCCCCACCTCTTTTTCTTTCTTGGGGGTTGGGGTCCCCCTTGAAATGCCTACCAGACCTAAAGGGTCTGGTATGACTTTGTAGTAGGGATGCACTGATACTAGTATGGGTATTGCTGCCGATGGCGAGCATTTGGGCAAGTACTCATACTCGCCAAAATGCTCTGCTGCCTGGCCGATACTTAAGCTTCCAGGATCAGGAAGCTGGGCAGCGAGTCATTACATGCTGCGCGGCTTCCTGATTTCCCAGGAAGCCGGGCAGCATGTCATCACACGCCCCCCGGCTTTCTGATTGGCAAGAAAGCCAGCTCCATGCTGTCTCATCACCTGGTGACCAGGGAGCATGAAGACGGCTTCCCGGCTAATCATGAAAGCCAGGTGGCGAGTCTTTACACGCCACCCGTTTTTCTGGATAATCAGGAAGCCAGGTGGCGAGTCATTACATGCCACCTGGGTTCCTTAAGGGGACTTCCGGTATCAGTATTCGGTATTGGCAAGTACCGGAAAAAAAATATTGGTACTCGTACTTGATACCGAAAAACCAGTATCGGTGCATCCCTACTTTGTAGGGGAACCTCATGCTTTTTTTTGGACATCTGGAGTCCCTCCTAACATTCCTACCATGACCATACTAAGCCAACATCCAACGGTGAATTTCCACTGGTTTCACTCCCTCTGCCCAAAGAAAGCATGCTACAGCACGTTGTTCACAGTGTCCATGTTTCTGTCCACAAGACTACCAGTTGGATAAAGTCCAAGCGATGTACAGAGCATGGTCGAACTATCCAACCGTCTATGTAAATATGCTGCATTGCGCAAGCTTCTCTCTGTTCTGGTTACCACATAATTGATACATTGCCTTTAGTTTTTGATTCTCCCAAATTAGAGACACAATGCCCCTCTCTGGTCAGGGTTTGCAGCATAACAGTTTTCAGGGACTTTCTCATCAGGCATGGAAAACATACAGGCATAACTTACATAGTTCTTAAAAAAAATAGGCAGGGAGATTTTTTTGGGGCTAATTTACTAAAGATACCAGCTGCCTCCCTTAAAATGCTAGAGTCCTATATCTCCAAAAAAGAATTTCTCACTGCACTAGCAGGTATGGCATCAGTGAAGGTTCCAGGCCCTGATGGCCTAAAAACAAAATCTTTAAGGATGTACTAATTCCACACCTAACTGCCTACGCAAACTCTATACCAAAGGGTTCAGAAATTAGGCCTGAGACCTCCCAAGCTCACATAACAGTGATCAGGGAAGGTTTGCAGACTGTGCAAAGCACTGGCTAATATCTTTACTCATCATAGACATAAAGCTTTCTTATGCATCTCCTCTCTTGCTGGGTTTCACCCAACTAAATTGGGTATATCCCCCCTACAAGGGAGGCTAGGAATAACTCTCTTGGGACTTTATCCATCATTGCCCATGTTCAGCGACAGTTCCAACCCACCCTACTCAACAGATGCAGAGAAAGCATTTGATAGGGTGGACTGGGGTTATTTAATGGCCGCCCTAAAATGTTTGTCCTTTAAAAGTGCCAGTGGATTGCAGCCCTATATAATTCCCCTATCCTTTATCCACCATAATGGCCCTCATCCAGAGTGTCCCTTGCCTCCTGTTATTTGCCATTTATTTTAAACCGTTATTAGCAACTGTATATAATAACCACAAAATTGATGGCATCCAGGTTGGTACTCGCATGCATAATCCCTTGGTTTATGCTGACAATATATCCAATACCCTTACATTACCTTATCAAAATATACTTACTGAACTGACCTTATTTGGAAGAATATCTAATTGTAAAATAAATTTAACTAAATCAGAAATGCTATGTGTCCCAACAAGAAATTTCTGGACTCAAACCGCACTTCCAACAACATGGGAACCCCACAAACTAAAGCACAGCAGGATTCACTTCACACCCCATTTTTCTGAACTCTTTCAAACCAACTATGTATGCCGAATACTATTAAAGTTGAATACTATGTATGCCGAATACTATTAAAGTTGATCTTCAATGCTGGTTTTGCCAGAGTGTTATTTTCATTCCAAATGCTCCCTACAAGCATCTGCCTCTCCGTTTTTTCAATCTACTGCACACATTAATCATTAGATTCATTTGGAGCCTTTCAAAACCAGGGGGTTTTCAATCTAAATTTAATTGGGCCTATATTCTTCAGAGGACTTCCTTCTCTCGACTTTAAATATTACAATCATGCTGCTTTCCAACGATATTCCCAGGATACTGCATTGGACTTTTGTGAACCACTTAAAGGAGAAGTATTGAGAGAGTAAAATGTACTTTTCCCAATACTTAGAGCTGGCATTTCTCTATAGATCAAGAGCTGAGCGATCATGAAGTGCTTATTGCTCAGCTCATGGTCTTCTCCCTGCAAATAGCAAAGACTGTCAGTCACCGGCCCCTGCAGGGATTCCCCCCTCCCCTCTCTGTTCCTCCAGTGCTCATTAGAGGAACAGACAGGAGAGGGGGTGGGCACAGCTGGCTCTGGCTCTAGAGAGGCAGAGCCAGCTGT